TAGGTACCGATAGAAAAATAACTAAGTATTTACCTGGCTGTACGCCACGCAGAACATTGAATTACATCCTCCAGAAATTTATGCAACGATTCGTATAGACGAATAAGATCACAAGTGTTTCCTTTCTGAATGCTGAATTGTGCTCAAATTATTCGGTAACGCTTGACTACCTACAGACCGGTTTCGAGCTTCTGGCTCTCATCAGTGCAGATGTGTCCCCAGATGGCATTCATGACCACCATCTGATGCGAACCTGACCCAACGTGAACACATTCCAGCATTTAATACCCACAAGGCTCTCGGCATCTGCGAGATGGACAGGAACGCTACCTGAGTAAAAGGAATAAAACAAATTCCAATTTCACATGAAATGGGAGTGACTGCCCAACTGGCGTAATTTCAACTACGTAAAAGCCCAAAATGCTCAAAGTGGAATGACATGTTCAATAAATATACAAAGCTCAAAGTAATTTCCACGAAAGTTCATAAATGAACGAAACTGGTAGATAACGAGAAAAAAACAACTACTTTCTTGGCTTCATTCCACGCGGGACATTCAATTACATCACAGTTGAGAGAATATTAATATGTAATATTCTCTCAACTGTGATTACATCCTCCCGAAATCTACGCTATATAGACGAACGAATAAGATCGCAAGTGTTTCCTTCCTAAATGCTTAAGAACACTTACGATATCATTCGTCTATACGAATCGTTGCATAGAATTTGGGAGGATGTAATTCAATTTTCTGCGTGGCATATAGCCACGAAAGTAGTCATTTTTCTCCCGTTGTCTACCAGTTTTGTTCAATTATGAACTTTTGTGGAAATTACTTGTAGCTTGGTATATTTATTTAAAATTTCATTCTACATTGAGCATTTCGGCATTTTCGTAGTTGATACGCTAATGTTCTTAGATTTGATCCAAAGACAAGTCATTCACCCGATCATTTACCTGCATGGTTGCATGGTGATGCCACATTCACTAATTTCTTGACATCATTGGAACACCGTAGGAAAATAGGTGACAGTCACTTTTCTATTGATACTTCCACGAGAAATGTCCATCATGAATCATTCCATCACTAGCAAAACCAGTCAAACGAACTGGACAAGCCCAGCTATCACATCCTTTTGTTGTCAGCGTAGATATTATGTCGAACAACTCTGTATCAAAATTACTTTGTCTATAGCTATAAAATGGTCAAACTTTCGGATTCCTGGCCAGAAGAAGAATTCCCATTAACTTATAACTTCCTAAAATGAAAACAATCCAAAACCTAATTTCTCTTATATTCCTATGCATCCTAGGTAGATAAAAAAACCTATCAATCCGTTTTTATAAAGATCAACATATCTAAATAAGATATTTTCATTTGGCTTGGTTGTTTGGTTTGAGGTCATTTGTGTTTATGAATGGGTAGTATTTTTCATCTATCTAGCGTACTCATCTGTCAATTATAATAAATAATAATAACAATCATAATAATGAATCGTCTTTATTCATGACATTCCATCTATTTACCTTTAAACCTGATCGTAAACCTCCGTTGAACATGATAGCGAGTTATATCATTATCGTGATGAAACCGTTAGAAAGGATTTGTCAGTCGTTGCTCAACGATACTACTCATAAAATTGTTTCCTAGTTTGCCAATTATTTTCGCCTGGGCACACGAATCGCATCTAGGGTTGGATGGAAGGAGCGTATAGTAAACAAGTGAAAGTTTCGGCGATTTTTTGGCCAGATGATCTGTTCCAAGGTTGTGTCTTCGTGAGGTGAATAGACGAAACCAACGAAAGTGTTACGTGGTTTTGTGGGCGATCGATTCAAAGGTCATATTCATTCAGTTCTTGTTGATTATCCGACAATCGTGTATCTGATGTAAGATGCTCTTAGAGTTTGTTGGTTGAAGTGACATGGAGCAATATTTACATACATGACACTTAAACCGAGTCTTATTGACTCAGGACCTAGGTAAATTCTCCTGTTCATTTGACTCCGTTTTGATTGTGGAAAAAGATGACCATTAGGTACCTACATTAATAATTGACCAATGAAAATCAGTTTTTACTTGAAGTGATCCATAGAATGATGCAATTCGTTCCAATCACTTTGTTTCACACCCACAAGAGAATATAGATGAGATTAAAAGTGTGTTTTTTTTCAATTGGATAGTATAGATCCCTCCAGTTATAAGCGAGATTTATCTGAACAAAAAGAACAGGACAATTCAGCTCTTGTTGATTATCCTACAATCGTGTATCTGATGTAAGATGCTCTTAGAGTTTGTTGGTTGAAGTGACATGGAGCAATATTTGCATACATGACACTCAAACCGAGTCTTGACTCAAGACCTAGGTAAATTCTCCTCTTAATTTGACTCCGTTTTCCGTTTTGGTTATGGAAGAAGATGACCATGAAGTACATCAATAATTGACCAATGAGAATCAATTGTTCCTCGAAGTGATACATAAAATCACTACAACTCTCTAAGACCCTGTACAGTGTATGTACAAGTACTCATATTCTACTATGTTGATATGTTCTTTTCTCACATATTCGGTTAACAACATAAATGAAATCAACAATTACCGAGCAATCAACTCGATTAACATAATAGCAAAAATTTTTGAACAAATTATATGTACTAATTTAACAAGTGCACTAAAACCAAGCATTTCTATATTTCAATATGGTTTTGAAACTGGTAAATCGACCGTCTCAAATCTTTGTGTATTATCGGAACATGCATCGGAAGCAATTAATAAAAAAAAACAACTGGATGTGATATATACAGACTGTGAGAAAGCCTTTGACAAGGTTGATCATGGGCTGCTCTTAGATCGACTCGTTGCTATGGGAATATCACACTCCACATTTATGTTTCTTAAATCATATCTGTTGAACTGGGAACTACTAGTAAAAGTAGGCAGAGATACCTCAAATGAATATATAGCTACCTCAGGAGTGCCGCAAGGTAGTACCCTAGGTCCACTATTATTCACTTTATTCATCAACTCCCTTCCTGATTGCCTTTCTGAATCGATGGGATTGCTCTTCGCTGATGATTTTAAATTATTCAAAACAATATCCACCCCACAGGACTGTATCTCGTTACAGACAGATATAAATAATGTCAGTCATTGGTTTAAGGCTAACAAAATGTCAATAAACATAAAAAAGTGCTCCGTTATGACATTCACACGGAAAACAAACATCATTAAATATAACTATATAATTGATGGTGAAGAACTTGAACCACGGAACGAAATCAAAGATCTAGGAGTCACATTTCAGAGTGATATGAAGTTCAATTCGCATTATAACAATATAGTCAATAAGGCATTTGAATCTTTGGGTTTTATCATAAGAAATAGTAAATCTTTCAAAATTGAAACGATAATCAGACTCTATCATACAGTAGTAAGACCACATCTAGATTATGCAGCACAAATCTGGATGCCTTCAGCACACACACATGTAGACCACATCGAGAAAGTTCAGAAGAGGTTCTTGCGATACCTTTATGTTAGGAAAAACATTTTTTACCCATACATGGTCCCATATAAGTACATGCTGCAAACCTTTGAATTCACGAGTTTGTTGGACAGAAGAAATAAACAGGCAGTGCTATTCATATATTATCTATTAAACTATATAAAGTACAAAGACTGTGATTTAATTAAGTATATAGACATAAACGTTCCTAAAATCAATTTGAGAATCAGAAATTATGATATTTTCAGGGTAGATCTAGTCAGCACATCACCAATAAATAAAATGCTATTAATATGCAATCAAGTGCTCAAGCAAACACACATAGATATATTTAACACAAACGTGAAAGAGCTACAAAAATATGATGTGTGAAACTATCACACACTTCCTCTGTCTGTGACTGCCTGTGCCTTACCTAGTTGTAAGATTAGTTGTATAGTTGTATTGTATTGTATAGTTGTATTGTATTGTATAGTTGTATTGTTGTACCATTACCTGTAATTACCTATCGGTGTTTGTAATGAGGTCAATAAATAAATAAATAAATAATTTCGAATTCAAAAGAATTGTGAAAAACTTTTTTCTAATCGGGGTATCGAACTATTCAAATCGATAAAAATTGGCAGTTTTTGAATTATTGTGACTGAGCTCACCAACTTCATGACATTAAAAAAGAACATCAGTCATCAAAATTCAAAAGTTCTTCATCATATCTCGATTATTCTTGGCGGAATTTTCAATAGCATGTTCCAACATGCTGATTATTCCTGATAGAATATATAGAATATTTTGCGAAAACACTGGAAAATGTTTCAGAAATTCGAGGCTTTTGTAATGACTGACACTTCTTAAGCTCACTTAGTAGGGAAATAGGGACAAACTTAAAATACCATAGGTAATAAGATGAACTATCACAATAATTTCTAGCTTTCCTGGGATTTCTCAAAAGCACGGTCCTCTTCAGATCTTTGTTTTCGCTACAAAACTTTTCTGCAATATTAGAAGCAGGCAAGATGTGCTTTATGTTCCTCCTTAGATGACTCATTTGATCCCCTGAATCTGAAGAATGAAATGATCAACTGATACTTATCAGATTGAATTGTTTCATTGACAGAGGAGAAAATGAAACAGCTCTCCTCTCATATGATGTGTTCCTTGTCGAATATTAGTCGAGAATCCACCGAATTTATTTATCCTTAATGCTTTAGTAGATCTTGGGATTATACGTTCAATCTAGTACCTGCAGTTATGAAAAGTAAAAGAAAGTTTCCTCACCCATCCCACTTGAAGGTTGTGGTAATTTACAGTAAAGAGCTGAATGTGGCAACATTACTCATGGCATTATCGAAATGAACCTATCAAATCACCACACTCCATGTGATATATTTTTCGAATACCTTACGATTCGCATGATATCATACCACTCCAGGACTTTTGTCTTACTCTTTGTACACTTATAGATGGAAATTGTATACCAATAATGCCTCTTGTTTCAGTGAGAGATGCTACAGCCAAATCAGTCACCGGTATCCTGAGAGGCAGCATTTCACAATTCGGGCAGTTCGAAGAGTGTCTCACTGCCAAAGCACCGTTTCCCACTCAGTACTGTCTGGCAACAATCATCGCCAACGTCCCCAGACCAATACCTGAGAGAAACCCGAAATCGCTGATATATGAACCGAATGAATCAGTTTTGAGGAAAATATACGTAAGTTTATCAACAACTTTCCTATTGACCACTACAGATATAATCCAGTCATTTGGTGAGGGAAAGCACTGGGTTCAGGAAAAAATTGCTAAAGAATTATTATCGCGGGATCTATATGGTTTTTGTGATGCTGAAACTGAAAATTTCGTTATCGACTAGATTCGAATATGGCTTCACCACGAAATGGGCAATAATAGCATGAAAATTTGGGATTTATTTTGATTTTTTTGCTTATAACTCCGGAACGACGTGATTTAGAAAATACATCATATCAAAATGGAAGCCTATAAAATTTACTGTACAACATGATCAAAATCGGCTCGATATCTTGTTTGATTCAGCCTCTGCAGCGCTCTGAAAATTGACAATAGTTTTGAAGTTGTCCAAAATATTCGTATTTCAGATTTCAAATTAGTATACATGGCCAGGCTAGTGTTTCCGCCAATGGAGTCTCACCATGGAGTGTCCTGAACCTCCTTCCTCAATATTTATTTTATGTCTTCATTTTCAATTTCCCTCCAAATCACAACCCAGATTGCCACACAGTTAGTTGTTGAGTGAATTGTTTCCAAATTCATGTTATTTTCCCATTTTTCTTGAGTGACTTTGAATGCCAAACGATAATTATTGTACACTTTGTGATAAGCCGCTGGACGATGAATCCGAAATTGTGAGTGTGCAGAGAGGGTTGAAAGCCATTGTAAAAGCTAGCGGGAGGAGGAAAGACGGGACAACTTCTTTGAGAAATATTCGAAGAAGTAAATGATATAGGTAGGTATAGGTAGGTGTATTGAAAAAATATATAATGTCACTCATCTTTGGACGTTATAGGAACGAATCTGCTCCAGGTTTCAACATAAAAATGCAAAATAATTCTTGAAAATTATCTTTTACTCTGCATTTTTTGACATTACTCAGTTTCAGAAAGATGTGTGTTGTTGTTCTCATTGATCTTTCATTTGTTATTTTTCTATTCATATGAACTGAATAGTATATTGACAATAACAATAAGATACGAAATCATTACACCTTATTGAAGATGTATTGAAATTGTTAAAACTGAATCAGAAACCTGTGTAGGTGCGTGTGTATGAATCACGTATTTACATTCTATAATATGTCAATGAACTTGACATTATTTTTAAAAACCACCTTCAAAGATGCTTCGAATCGAGAGTGAAAAATAGCCTAAGGGTTATATGGGTTTTGAGTACTCAATATATAGTTAGCAATATATACCTGTTATTTATTTAAAAATGTAAATTTGCATCACGGTCAAACAATCTAAATATTTTATATACCAACCTATATTTATTTGAATATATAGAGGTTGTCCTAGAAACTCATACAATTATTCCATCTACAGCAAGTAAATATACCGAGTGACAACGAGATTATTCGACAGGGCGTCATTTAGTTATTTTTCCTGTTAGACTTTTGACTTTTGGTCGAGGATAGAGTTCCTTAAAACTCATATTTTCCGTGAAAAAAAATTGAATCAGATGGTTTCACCGGAAATCAACTTAGGTCGAGAATTTGGAGGCGCGGGACACATTTAAAATAATCAATATGTCGACATCGTTCGAATGTTCTTCCAGCAACGTGATAAAATATATAGTAAATAGACGAATTACTTCGATCAGTTTTTGATGAAAAATGCGGAAATTTTTATTCCTTGCCATCTATCACGATTCCTTTCAATAATTATTTCTCTTGAATAGTCTCGAAAATAGGAAAATGTACTTTTTTTTATAAGTTTATCAATCGGTCCTACTTTCTAATATTTTGTGTAACCCCAATGGCCCATCCTATAATACCTATAAAATTACATAATCACCAAAGATTGGATCAGACTTATAGAAGGAACGATAAGTACCTCAGAATGCTCATACAAAACCAACAATTTTGTTATTTTTCAATTTTGTATTTTTTCTTGAATTATTTGTTTCTGTTCATTCATTGTCATAGTGCCATTACTCATTTTTGGGTCGTTGCCTAACCTTCGAATTTCGAAAATGTCACCTTATGAGCTGTGCAATTTCTTCATATGGAGAAGCCGAAAGAAACAAAGAGAAGAAATTTTTTACCATGCCACTGATGTTTTTCGCTATATCTACCATACGTCCAATTGGAAAAACCATCTGGTTTTCTCATAACTTTTATGCATTTTACCGCCCGGTTTTGCGGGTCTAAAGTGTCACATTACCGCCCGCGGGCACATTATGGTCCGCGGGCACACTATGGCCCGCGAGCCGTAAAGTGCTGACTTGCTGCCTAAACTTTTCACCCACAGGATGACAATTAGCTTGATTTATTCTTGAATTGTTAGACAACAGCCACAACAATTTTTTAGCTTGATTGACAACTTCAAAATCATGTAGATATATACTGGGTATGCATTTTGTAACATTTCAAGAAATTAATCTCTTCTGGTGAACAAAGAGTTTTACTGTTACGATAATTGCGTTATTCGTACGATAATTGCGTTATTCGTACGATAATTGCGTTATTCGTACGATAATTTCAATATGTGAACTCCTCCTAACAATTACGCTTCTCTTGATTACTGCATTCATACGTTATACATAAAATTTTGTTAATTAAAATCGAATCAATGATGTTGTGAACTTCCCAACATTTCATCACCCTGTATAAAAACATGAACACGAAGGTGTCTATGATCAACCAAAAAACAATCATCTACGGTTTCCCTAACAATTCTGACAAGTTGTCAAATATCTCAATTTTGATTAGTATTTATCTGTAATCAACTTGTACAACGAATTGTCGAATATACGTAATAGAAAAGGAATCTTCTGGTTTACTCTACTCAACTCTATACGGTCCTTCGAACCCTTCACCCCAATAACCCCTTACATGGTCGCTTCGACCCGGATCGGCAACCAGTGGAAGACTTATTTCCTGCACTCAAACATCGGTCGCAAAGGTTCCAACTTGGAAGAAGTCGCTCTCTCGTCCCAGGTTATTGACAAAACATCAGACTTCAACCCCTCTCAGCTGCTGCGAAGAAGACGGAAGTAAGAAGTTTGCCGCCTGAATATCTCTCAGAGCCCGCGGATTCACGAGGTCAGAAGTTTCTAATTTCTATTTGAACAGTTTGGCTATTGATTTGACTGACAGTTCTCAACGTCATTTTTGATAGCCCTTCGTAATTCACTTCAGATTGCTAATTTACGAAAATATCATCATTCATTCATTCACATTGTTTGGAATACACGAGTAACATGGAAGATCTCGTCAGAAAACGAGGACGTTCCAAAGCAAACATCACAAGAATTGAAAATTTTGTTGCTGAACATGAAAACGAGGAAAATTTCAATAGTAATGAATTGGTTATCAGAGAAAACATGTTAATTAAGGCATTCAATGATTATTGTTCGATACAGGATGACATTGAAGACAGAGATGAATCACAAATTGTTGATAGGGAAACTGTAGAAGAGCGTTATGTTGCTGTTCACAGTAAAATTCGTACGCTGATTCAAAAAAAGGTAAATTTGATTCCCGCTACCAATGGGTTACATACACAGGGTATTTCTCATGGAAGCTCACAAGGTACTCCCACCCCAGAGGTTAAATTACCTAATTTGAATATTCCAATTTTCACGGGCAGATATGATGATTGGAGATCTTTTTATGATTTGTTTCTTGCACTAGTTGACAAAAATTCGTACCTGGCCAATTCCCAAAAGTTTTTATACTTGAAATCTGTTCTTAAAAACGAACCCCTCTCCTTGATTAACGAACTTTCGATTACTGATGGAAATTACACGATCGCATTAGATATCTTGAAAAAACGATATGATAACAAAATAGCCATAATTAATTCTCATATAAAATCTCTTTTGGAGGTAGAGGTATCAAAGGAAAATTCTTCTTCAATGAGAGAATTTATAACAAAAATTAAACAACATTTCAATGCCCTGAAGGCTATGTCCGTACCAGTAGATTCATGGGACTTAATTTTAGTCTATATTTTCTCAAATAAACTGAACTTTCATACTCACAAGGCTTATGAATTAGAAAGAGACTCCGCCAAAGTTCCCACATTGGAAGAATTCTTGGAATTTTTAGATAAGCGTTGTTCAGCGCTAGAATCTGTCTCTCAGTCAGAAAATAAATTCAAACAGAATAAATATCCCAATCAAACTCGCTTTCCACAAGCTTCTTACACAGTAACAAACAACTCGACACTCTCAGGCAAGGGAACGATAGTTCAATCATGCATATATTGCAAGGGAAAAAATCACTCGATCTATAAATGCTCACAATTCAGTTCACTATCTATACAACAGAAAAGAAATTTTGTCACAAAAACTAAATTGTGCTTCAACTGTTTGGGCACAAAACACACTGTGAATCAATGTACCTCAGATAGGTGTAGGTCATGTTCAGGTAGACATCACACGTTGCTACATGAAAACCCAACTCTCAATAATGATAGACAATCTCTTCAAGCAAATTCAATTTCCACAGAGAGCTCTTCTAATAAACAAACATTTCATGAAAATGATATCGCTAGCGCCGATTCAAACCCGCTTGCGCAACCGCCAATTTCAACCAGTCGTTCGTCTGTCAATTGGTGTTTCAGTAACCAGAATAATAATAATCATATTTTATTAGCCACAGCTCAAGTGAATCTGATTTCCGATTCGGGAACAAAGATAACAGCTCGCGCGCTTTTAGATTCTGCATCACAGACTACGTTCATTACTTCAGATATAACAAAACGTTTGAAGACTAAAACTCAGCAAAGTCATGTACAGGTTTCAGGAATATCTCAAGACACTACAATTGTCAATGAAATTGTGAATGTTACTATAGAATCTCAGGAGCCAAATCATTTTCAGGTAAAGGCTAAGTGTGCCGTTCTCAAAAAAATTACTTGCCCTCTTCCTCAAACTCGTATAGATATTTCTCGTTTAAATATTCCGACTGATTTGTTTATGGCTGACAAACATTTTGATATTCCTGGTCAA